CCCCCCCACCCACCCTGTCTCTGTCGTGAGCAGTTTTAGCTTCCTGTTAGACGCCATTGTCTGTGTAGTCACGTTACGAAGAATCTTAAACGGGAAGCTAAGAGTTATTTAGTGTTGGCAAGAGTAAGGAAAAAAATCCTGCTCTAGAATTTGGCGGAGGATTTCGCTATAGACTACAGTCGAAACGGCCTTAGACGGCCACCAGTTGTTCAATAGAAAAGTGGATGTCTTAGACAGGTGAGTGTCTTGGACTGGTGAGTGTCTTGGACAGGGCGATTATTATGTCGATAAAGCTCAAGGAGAGAAACGGGAAGTGGTCTTTTGTACAGATGATTGTCCTTAACAGGTTGCTGCAGAGCTGGTTTGATTGTACATAGAGAAGTGTAGGATCAGGGGAATCAGAGTAGTGAGAGTCAATCCTGTACTGTCACCCACCTGATTTTTTTTTCTGGCCTTGGCCTGTCCTGCCATAAGCTGACAGGACACCTTTTTAAAAAAATCAATTTAGCACTATTTTTTAATTTGCTGAATCAAAAGCCTGATCAGTAACCTTGCTTGTGGGAAAAAATCAAAGTGAAACTGTGACTAGTTTTTGAATAAATTAGAATTTAAATTTTAAAAGAAATGGTTAAGATGACAAAAACCCCTCTCTTGAAACTTTTGTGAACAAAAAAATGGCATTTTGTCAGCTTACGGCAGTGTTGAGAGTCATAAGTAGCCATTTTGTTAACCAATCAAAGTCAGTCAAAATTTCCAAGACGGCCACTCATCGTCAAGTAAATTAAAGACGGTTGTCTTTGACTGGTAGTCATTAGAGCTTAAAGTTTTTAATGATATCAAACAAAGTATAGTTGTTTCCAATTCGAAAATTCATAGACAGTGGAGGTGGGGACAGGTTGACTGAAATATTTTCCAGAAAGATATGCTAAGTGCCTGTGAAGAAGAAAAAAAAAGAAAAGTATATATAAACTTTCTGGAAAATGTGAGTCGGCCTGCTCCGAACAAGACTTCTCATTTCGTAACATTCCATAAACTTTGAGTCTTTGTGACTGGATGTATTTAATACAGAACTTAGACTAGATTCTCAGAAAATTAGAACTTTTTTTTGGTTGGGGGAGGAGGAGGGGGGGGGGGGGGAA